ATTCAGATGGAGGAGATGATTGACTTCAAGATGTACTTTAAACTTGCCACAAACTGATGGTTGGCAACTCCCATTGTCCCCAGTCTGCATGGCACATAATCAAAAGGAACGAGAGTTGCTGTTCAGTAACATCTAGGGACTCAAACTGGGTAAAAACTAAAGCACACCAACCACTATGTTAAAATTATAGTTGGTGCTCTTAATCCATAGATTATCCATCTATGGATTCAACAGCCCTTTGAAGGCAACCATAAGTCTGATGTGCCCCTTGTTGAAAATGAGTTTGACACCTCTGATGTAGATGAAGCCTTACTCCCAGTCAAGCTACAGACCACTGCTTCCCAAACTTTGGTCCTCTAGATATTTTAGACTTCAATCCCTGATCATTGGCCAAAGCAACTGAGACTTGGAAGTGGACGTCCAAAATACCTGGAGGACCAGAGTTTGGGAATCACTCTCATAGACCTTTCATAGAATCATAGAATCAAAGAGTTGGAAGAGACCTCATAGGTCAACAAGTCCAACCCCCTGCCAAGAAGCAGGAATATTGCTTTCAAATCACCCCTGACAGATGGCCATCTAGCCTCTGTTTATAAGTTTCCACCATGCTCCGGGGCAGAGAGTTCCACTGCTGAACGGCTCTCACAGTCAGGAAGTTCTTCCTCATGTTCAGATGGAATCTCCTCTCTTGTAGTTTGAAGCCATTGTTCCTTGTCCTGTCTCCAGGGAAGCAGAAAACAAGCTTGCTCCCTCCTCCCTGTGGCTTCCTCTCACATATTTATACATGGCTATCATATCTCCTCTCAGCCTTCTCTTCTTCAGGCTAAACATGCCCAGCTCTTTAAGCCGCTCCTCATAGGGCTTGTTCCCAGACCCTTGATCATTTTAGTCGCCCTCCTCTGGACACATTCCAGCTTGTCAATATCTCTCTTGAATTGTGGTGCCCAGAATTGGACACATATTCCAGGTGTGGTCTAACCAAAGCAGAATAGAGCATGGGGAGCATGACTTCCCGGATCTAGACACTATACTTCTATTTATGCAGGCCAAAATCCCATTGACTTTTTTAGCTGCCACATCACATTTGGCACTCATGTTTAACTTGTTGTCCACGAGGACCCCAAGATCTTTTTTACACGTACTGCTCTTGAGCCAGGTGTCCCCCATTCTGTATCTTTGCATTTCGTTTTTCTGCCTAAGTGGAGTATCTTGCATTTGTCCCTGTTGAACTTCATTTTGTTAGTTTTGGCCAATCATCTCTCTAATCTGTCAAGATCATTTTGAATCCTGCTCCTGTCCTCTGGAGTATTGGCTCTCCCTCCCAATTTGGTGTCGTCTGCAAACTTGATGATCATGCCTTCCAGCCCTTCATCTAAGTCCGTGATGGTGAACCTATGACACGTGTGTCAGCAGTGACACACATGGCTATTTTTGATGACACACAGACACATGCGGCCACATACAGAGAAATACACCTTATAAGAGCCAATCTAATTCCATCCTTAAATTTGTAAAAGGCTCTACAAATTTAACATCTGCACGTTTGAGCATTGTTCACTCCATAACTCAGCATGGAATATACATTTTTCTTATTTAAACTATAAATATTGCAAAATTATGGTTTTTTTTTCTCGAAGTTGACACCCCACCCAAGTTATGCTCAGGTTTTTGGCAAATTTTGATAGCCATGTATAAATATGTGAGAGAAGAGCCACAGGGAGAAGACCCATGAGGTCTCTTCCAACTCTTTGATTCTATAATTCTATGATTTTGGCAAATTTTGACACACCAAGCTCAAAAGATTGCTCATCACTGATCTAAGTCATTAATAAAGATATTGAACAGGACCGGGCCCAGGACGGAACCCTGCGACACTTCACTTGTCACTTCTTTCCAGGATGAAGAGGAAGCATTGGTGAGAATCACCCTCTGGGTTCGTCCATGTGGCGGCAAAAAAAGCCAATGGGATTTTGGCCTGCATCAATAGGAGCATAGTGTCTAGATCTAGGGAAGTAATGCTACCCCTCTATTCCGCTTTGGTTAGACCACACCCGGAATATTGTGTCCAATATTCCAAAATTCAAGAGAGATATTGACAAGCTGGAATGTGTCCAGAGGAGAGCGACTAAAATGATAAAGGGTCTGGAGAACAAGCCCTATGAGGAGCGGCTTAAGGAGCTGGGCATGTTTAGCCTGAAGAAGAGAAGGCTGAGAGGGGATATGATAGCCATGTATAAATATGTGAGAGGAAGCCACAGGGAGGAGGAGGGAGCAAGCTTGTTTTCTGCTTCCTTGGAGACTAGGACGCGGAACAATGGCTTCAAACTACAAGAGAGGAGATTCCATCTGAACATGAGGAAGAACTTCCTGAATGTGAGAGCCGTTCAGCAGTGGAACTCTCTGCCCCGGAGTGTGGTGGAGGCTCCTTCTTTGGATGTTTTTAAACAGAGGCTGGGTGGCCATCTGTCAGGGGTGATTTGAATGCACTTCTCCTGCTTCTTGGCAGAATGGGGTTGGACTGGATGGCCCATGAGGTCTCTTCCAACTCTTTGATTCTATGATTCTATGATTTTGGCAAATTTTGACACACCAAGCTCAAAAGATTGCTCATCACTGATCTAAGTCATTAATAAAGATGTTGAACAGGACCGGGCCCAGGATGCAACCCTGCGGCACTCAGCTCGTCACTTCTTTCCAGGATGAAGAGGAAGCATTGGTGAGCACCCTCTGGGTTCGTCCATTTAACCAATTACAGATCTACCTCACCGTAGTTTTGCCTAGCCCACATTGGACTAGTTTCCTTGCCAGAAGGTCATGGGGGACTAGAATCCGATTGATGCAGGCCAAAATCCTATTGGCTTTTTTTGCCGCCAAATCACATTGTTGGCTCATGTTTAACTTGTTGTCCACAAGGACTCCAAGATCTTTTTCACACGTACTGCTCTTGAGTCAGGCATCCCCCATTCTGTATCTTTGCATTTCGTTTTTTTCTGCCTAAGTGGAGTATCTTGCATTTGTCACTGGTGAACTTCATTTTGTTAGTTTTGGCCCATCTCTCTAATCTGTCAAGATTGTTTTGTATCCTGCTCCTGTCTTCTGGAGTATTGGCTATCCCTCCCCATTTGGTGTCATCTGCAAACTTGATGATCCTGCCTTCTAACCCTTCATCTAAGTCATTAATAAAGATCCTGACCAGGACCAGGCCCAGGGGGGAACCCTTCGGATGGCACTCCACTTGTCATTTCTTTCCAGGATGAAGAGGAAGCATTGGTGAGCACCCTCTGGGTTCGTCCATCTAACCAATTAGAGATCTACCTCACTGTAGTTTTGCCTAGCCCACCTTGGACTAGTTTCCTTGCCAGAAGGTCATGGGGGACCTTGTTGAAGGCCTTCCTGAAATCCAGGTATGCTACATCCACGGCATTCCCCGCATCTAGTTTTGCCTAGCCCACATTGGACTAATTGTGGGAGTTGAAGTCCAAAACACCTGGAGGGCTGAAGTTTGCCCATACCTGTTCTAAAGAGCTTCATCCACGGAGCCATTCATTTCTTCTGAAGCCACCCCTGGGGCAATGTCACGAGCTTTGGCCTCCTTCCTTATCAGCATGACAAAGCCCTCTAAATCGGAAATCAAACAGCCAACTTGAGTTGGGAGAATGCCGCGTCTCTAATTTGTATGTACCTTTTTTGATCTCCTCACCTACTAGGTTTAAGGTAAATCGCTACGGAATACCAAGGAGACATTCAATGAAACCGGGCCATTAATTCAGCCCAATGAGAGATGTTTTATATAACAAAGGGATTTGCGCTGATACTCAAACAATGTATATTAATGAAAGAGTTGAAAGAGATTCATTTGGTTCTCAAAGCAAACACATTAAGGGAGGGAAAAAATGATTGAGAAGTAAAGCATACCTCTTTTTTTTTTAAACTGTGCTTTATTTAGGGCTAAGCTGGTAAGCGTCATTCAATAATTACAGAAGATTACAAGGAGTTTTAGGGAATTGAGAATCAGAGAGCAGTTGTCTGGAACTGCGACGGTATTTATACACCTAGATACGGCCTCATTTCGGCTGTCTTTATCCCAGCTAAACAACCAAAGAAGGCCAGGGGCTGTTGAGCCAGCATAAGGACTTTAAAACAGGCCCAACAGGGAGAAAAAAGTAACTTTTCTTCATAAAAAGAAAGAAAGAAAGAACCTCAAAACTAACCAAAAGACAAAGCATTGATCTGAAATGTTATTTCTTTTTTCTTTCATCCAAGAAAATGGAATAAGGAGGGGGAAATACACCCTTTAAAAAAAATCAAGTCGTAACACCGTGGAAATAAATTATAATAAATATGATATACTTTAAAATATATTGTGTTCTTAAATAATTCATTGTTTCTATTTTTTTCTGATTCAGATTTTAAAGCAACTTTTTTCAACTGCTCTAAAGTCATTTACCAAAGATAAATATCGTGCTTTCCTTAAATAGTTTTTTTCCTTGATTTTTTTTCTCTATCATTACAATTAAAAGTCCTACAAAATATGCAAATTTATTTACAGAAAAACAGAGCCAGCATCTTTATTATTTTTTTTAAACATCCCCCTGTTTTTCAAAATTCCTTGTAAACAGTTTCAGAAATTCTTCAAAGAGATTGCATTTTTGTCATATTTTTTTTCCTGTTTTTTGTGTTCGTTTTTAATTTTTTTTACTCGTTTTTTTCTTTTCTTTTCTTCGTCTTCTTTTTTTTCGTTTGTTTGTTTGTTTAAGATTAAGGTTCTAGGCTAAACCCTGCTCCCACCCCACCCCGCTTTTGTCCTGAAGGATCCTAGAGCAAAATATGAAAGCTACGGAAGCCAAAGATGATGGGAAAAGTCTCTGACGACAAGTATATGGAAAGATGAAAGCGTCTTAAGCTGTGGTTTTCCCTTTTGCAATTCCCCCCCTTTTCCTTCCCCTCCCACCCTCTATTTTTGCTTTCTGTTTCATTGAGGTTGACCTCACTTTTTTGGGGGAGGGGGGTTTTGTAAGAAGACAGCCGTTAGATGTTTCCCGTTTCAGCGTCGCCGGTCTACAGGAAATGGAAAAAGTTGTTTCTGTTTGCGTAATTCGTTTATTTATTGATTATTAGCTGGAATGCTTGCGGTTAAAAAAGCTGCCGAGTTTAAGCCGTCGTCTTCTTGGCCTTCCCCAACCCTTCCCCTCCCACCCTGATCCCGCCCCGAAAACCCCCCAAAAAATAAGACACAGCTTTCCAACAGCGGTTGGCTGAGAGCAGGAACGGATTTCAATCTAAACTCTACAAAAGTTACAGTTCTACAACATCTTTGTTTTTTGTAGCATGAATGCTAACGTCTATGTATATTTTTTTGCTTTTTTTCTGCTTTTTTAATGTCATCTAATCCCTTCTTCCCTATTATATAGGTATTTTAAAACTTTTTTCTTACTTTTTTTTTCATCTTTTAAATTCTGTACAACTATTAGGATTTTGTGGGAGAGAGAGAGAGAGAAGGGGGGGAGTCAGAAGCATTTACAAACCTGTTTTTCTTTTTTCTTTTTCCCTTTCTGTTTCTTGTCTACTTTTCATTTCCACCTTTTCCAGTATTCTATTTTATTTCCTTGCCTTTCCGCCATTGTATTTCCACCTCAACCTGTCCCTTCGAACCACTCCATCCGTACATATTATACAGAAAACCATATGAAAGTTTCATAGACTCTAATTAAGGTATAACCAAAGATCCGCCCCAAGTATCAAAGAACTATTATCTTGCCGGTTTTTTTTTGTGTTTAAAAGCGTTTTAAGCATATTTTTTTTTCAGTTTTTACATATTTCATATAATTGCTCTCTCGAAAACTGTTATAGGAACAGCTCAGAGAAAAAAAAAAGAAAGAACTTCTTTAATTTACATACAGCTACAAGTCTGCGATAAAAAGTTATGTCCTTTGGTCCCTATATAGCTAAGGAATGACAGATAAAGATGCTTGAGTGATGGGTACCATGGGGGTATCCATAGCAACCGCATCCCAGGTGGCAAACAGGCACTCCTTTGTCAGTATCAAGGTTTGCATTTCCTGTTTGGAAGAAAAGCCGCTGTGGTGACATCCGTTTCTCTGCAGAAATCCGAGTCGATCTGCTTCCTCTCGCAATCGTTTTGTTTGTTTGCTTGTTTGCTTGTTTCTTTGTTGTGATGGGTTTCGTTTTGTTCTGTTTTCTCAAGCGGGTATCCTTCTTCGAAATCTCAGCCGACGTGACTTTTCTTGGAGCAAAATGTTGACAGTCTGAACAATCAGAAAGAGAGTAAGTCTGAAGTTGTTGTTTTTTTGTTTCAGCTCGACTGATAATTTGCTGATATGTTAAAGGTGTAATCCAACAGTTCTCGTTCCTATATATATTTATTTAATATATATATATATATTTCTCTAAAGGTGGCCCATTCAGCTGATGCCCTAAAAAAAGAGAAAAGGAGACAAAGAGAGAGGTGAAGAATGATCGTTGCAAAGTCAACTCACGCCACCGAAAAACGAAACAGATTGAGAAAAAACAAACCCAAAGGAAGAATGAAAGAGAAAGTTGACAAGAGGAAAGAAGATTAAGAGAGCACACGTTTTTTTAAAAGGAAAGGAAATACAAAGGGATAAAGAGGTAAATGCTGGAGAACACCTGTTTCCAAGACAATATTGCTCTTCCATTGAGGAAACTACATATAAATTTGGTTAATGGGTTCAGGATCAGACCCTTCAACTTCTTTAGAACTCATAAAATAAAATTGACTCCATCTCCCATGAATGAGGTGATACTCCCCCATATTTCTCTATGTGCTAACAGCCTGAAGAACATATCATAGCAATACAATCTGGAATACAGTGGGCTCTTGGTATCCACTGGGGTTTGGTTTCATGGATGCCAAAATCCATGCATGTTCAAGTATTTTTTGCAAGGGCACAGTAAAATGCTGTCCCTTATATTCAATGGCCTTTTGGTGGTTTTTTGGGTATAGTTGCATCCATGGATGTCGAATCTATGGATATAGAGGGCCAACTGTATTCCTTTTCTACTAGTGAAGAAGCAACACTGACACTATAGAACAGTGGTTCCCAAACTTTGGTCTTCCAGGTGCTTTGAACTTCAGCTCCCAAAATTCCTAACAGTTGGTAAGCTGGCTGGGATTTCTGGGAGTTGAAGTCCAAAACACCTGGAGGACCTTAAGTTGGGAACCACTGGTATAGAAACTCAAAGCAGATCTACACAGATCCACAATCCCAGGGCCAATCCAGGTAGAGTCCTGAATGTGGATCGGCCCTGCTGTGTGGCCACCCTTACCATTCCCACCCATTCTTTGTGACATGGTGGTTTTGGGGCACCACATGGGTCCTCCTGGTTGGCCATTGCCTGCAGTGACATTGGATAGGTGATGAAGTGACATGGGAGGATAGGAGGAATTGCTCGTTCTTCTCCCAGTTCCCTTCCAAGGTCACCCCATCATCCCAGTCAACATTACTGTAGGCCAGTGGCTCCCAACCATTTCTCCTCCAGGTATTTTTGACTTCAGCTCCCACAATGCCCAACAGCTGGTAAAATGCCTGGGATTTCTGGGAGTTGAAGTCCAAAATACCTGGAGGAGAAAAGGTTGGGAGCCACTGGCCTACAGTAATGTTGACTGGGATGATGGGGTGACCTTGGAAGGGTATTGTATTGTTGAAAGGCTTTCATGGCAGGAATCACTGGGTTGTTGTAGGTTTTTTGGGGTTGTATGGCCATGTTCTAGAAGCATTCTCTCCTGATGTTCTGCCTGCATCTGTAGCAAGCATCCTCAGAGGTTGTGACTGGGTTGTTGTAGGTTTTTCGGGCTATATGGCCATGCTTTTAGAACATAGCCATATAGCCTGAAAAACCTACCACAACCCAGTGATTCCAGCCATGAAAGCCTTTGACAATATGTTGTGAGGATGCTTGCCACCTCTGAGGATGCTTACCACAGATGCAGGCAAAACGTCAGGAGAGAATGCTTCTAGAACATGGCCATACAACCCAAAAAACCTACAACAACTCACCAGGTATTGCTTGCCATGCAAGTTGGGTACCAAACAACTCAGGATGAAATTCTCTTTTCTACCCAACCATTTTCCCCAGGTTTTGGCAACCTTGCATGCTTTGCTACCTGCCAATGAAGCATTTTTCCTTTGCAAATGGGAGAAAGCCACCCTTTGAACAGGCGGACTGGAAAATGAAATGGCTTGGAAGGAGCTTCCCCTCTTCTCCTCCTTCCCTCCATCCCTCCTTCCCTCCCTCTCCCTGCAATAATAAACATAAAAATGTAAAGCTAACATTTCTTAAATTTTCCTTTAATCATGATCCAACTAAACTTGACATTTAAGGAGGATGCTTAATCATTACGGATTAGCTCTTATCTCTTGCTAGCAAGCAGGTTTCTCGTCTTATACACTGGGTGATTTATTACATCAAGAAACTTAGAAACCCGCCAAAGCTCCCCTCCGGTGGAGAAAGGTGTCATGCGTTATATCAAACCATGCTGGCAGGTTTTCCACACTGTTGATTGAACAAACAGCAAACCGTACACAGCGGTCTCAACAATTACAACACCAAAAATAATAAGAATAGAAGAGGAAATTAAAAAAAAAAGGAAAAAGGAAAACACGGACCCAGGACCCCCTTTTTTCTCAGTTGTAAACCAAACAAAAAAAAGACCAAAAATTAAAATGCCACTTCCTTTTTGAATCAAGATGTGTCTCTCCTTATAAGAACAGGCCCCCTCCCCACAAAAAACCAAAACCAATGGGTTTATTAAGAGTTCCTGTGCTACAAAACCTTAAAATTAGGGATTCTGATAAGCTAGAAGAGTCTTTTCTTCGCTTCCTAACTTGTTTTGCAATAGAGCTGTTTTCTTTTTGTAAAACAACTGTCATTAACTCTGATTTTTTTGGGAGGGACTAGAAAATAATTAAGGAAGGAAGAAAGAAAGAATGGGAGGAAACAAGGAAGGAAACAAGGAAACAATGAAGGAAGGAAGGAAGGAAGGAAGGAAGGAAGGAAGGAAGGAAGGAGAGGAAGGGAAGGGAAAGGAAGGAAAGGAAGGAGAGGAAGAAAGAAGGGAAGGAAGGAAAGGAGGGGAGGAAGGAAAGAAGGGAAGGAAGGAAGAAGAAGGAAGGAGAAAGAAGGGAAGGGAAGGAAGGAAGGAAGGAAGAAGGAAGGAGGGAGGAGGAGGAGGGAGGAGGGAGGAAGGAAGGGGGAGGAGGAAGGAAGGAGGGAGGGAGGGAGGGAGGAGGAAGGAAGGAAAGAAGGAAAGAAGGGAGGGAGGAGGGAGAAGAAGAAGGAAGGGAAGGAAGGAAGGAAGAAGGGAGGGAGGGAAGGAAGCAAGCAAGCAAGCAAGGAAGGAAGGAGGGAGGGAGGAAGGAAGAAGGAAGGAAAGAAGGGAGGGAGGAGGGAGGGAGGAAGAAAGGAAGAGAAGGAAGAAGAAGGAAGGAAGGGAGGGAAGAGGGAGGGAGGGAACAAAAGAAAGAAAGAAAGAAAGAAAGAAGGAGGGAGGGAGGGAGGGAGGGGAAAGGAAGGAAGGAAGGAAGGAAGGAAGGAAGGAAGGAAGGAAGGAAGGAAGGAAGGAAAGAAAATCAATTGAGAAAGCCCCCCAATATCCATTTAAAAACACAAGATTTTTTCTGTCGAAGGCTTTCATGGCCAGAATCACTGGGTTGCTGTGAGTTTTCTGGGCTGTCTGGCTGTATTCCAGTAGCATTCTCTCCTGACATTTTGCCCACATCTATGGCAGGCATCCTCAGAGGTTATGAGGTATATTGGAAACTAAGCAAGGGAGGTTTATATATTTGTGGACTGATGTCCTGGGTGGGAGAAAGAACTCTTGTCTTGATGAACCAACCTGGATGCAGCATATTATTTGAGAACAGAGAAATGCTGGACCACTCTTAACAACTACCATGTCAGACCACTGAAATGCACAAGAAGCACATGGACAATTTCAACAGAAATGAGGAAACCATGAAAATGAACAAAATCTGGTTATTATTTTAAAAATTCTAAAATCAGGACAGTAAATAAAGAACAACACTCTGCAAACAGGGGATCCCAGACATTAAACATTGTTGGGAGGTGTTAGACAGCTAACACCTCCCAACAAAGGATAACCCCAGGCAGGAAGCAGCCAGGACTATGATTCTATGATTCTAGGACTTGAAGCTGCAAGGCCATTAAATAATAATCAAGGTGATTTAGTACAACATTCACACTTGCCTCCAACAGACAAGAGTTCTTTCTCCCATTTTGGACATTATTCTACAGATATATAAACCTCCTTTGCTTAATGTATTGTCGAAGGCTTTAATGGCCGGAATCACTGGGTTGTTGTAGGTTTTTTCGGGCTATATGGCCATGGTCTAGAGGCATTCTCTCCTGATGTTTCGCCTGCATCTATGGCAAGCATCCTCAGAGGTAGTGAGGGTGCTTGCCATAGATGCAGGCGAAACGTCAGGAGAGAATGCCTCTAGAACATGGCCATATAGCCCGAAAAAAACTACAACAACCCAGTGATTCTAGGTTCTTGTGGGTTTTTTCGGGCTATATGGCCATGTTCTAGAGGCATTTCTCCTGACGTTTCGCCTGCATCTATGGCAAGCATCCTCAGAGGTAGTGAGGTCTGTTGGAATTAGGACAATGGGTTTACATATCTGTGGAATGGCTGGGGTGGGGCAAAGAGCTCTTCTCTGCTGGAGCTAGGTGTGAATGTTTCAACTGACCACCTTCATTAGCATTTGAAGGCCTGGCTGAGCCTGGGAAAATCTTTTGTTGAGTGGTGTTAATCTGTGCCTGGTTGTTTCCTCTCTGCTGTTTTGCTGTTGTAATTTTAGAGTTTTTTTTAATACTGGTAGCCAGATTTTGTTCATTTTCATGGTCTCTTCCTTTCTGTTGAAATTGTCCACATGCTTGTGGATTTCAATGGCTTCTCTGTGTAGTCTGACATGGTGGTTGTTGGTGTGGTCCAGCATTTCTATGTTCTCAAATAATATGCTGTGTCCAGGCTGGTTCATCAGGTGCTCTGCTATGGCTGACTTCTCTGGTTGAAGTAGTCTGCAGTGCCTTTCATGTTCCTTGAGTGTCTGGGCGCTGCGTTTGGTGGTCCCTATGTAGACTTGTCCACAGCTGCATGGTATATGATAGACTCCTGCAGAGGTGAGAGGATCCCTCTTGTCCTTTGCTGAACGTAGCATTTGTTGGATTTTCTTGGTGGGTTTGTAGATTGTTTGTATGTTGTGTTTCCTCATCAGCTTCCCTATGCGATCAGTGGTTCCCTTGTGGATTTCAATGGCTTCTCTGTGTAGTCTGACATGGTGGTTGTTGGTGTGGTCCAGTATTTGCTTAGTTTCTCTTTTGCTTAGTTTCCAATATACCTTACAGCCACTGAGGATGTTTACCATAGATGTGGGCGAAACGTCAGGAATGAATGCATCTGGAACATGGACATACAGCCAGGAAAACTCACAGCAACACAAGATTTTTGAGTGCAAAAATATCAATCACATATTGTTCCTGGTTATTATTATTATTTTTAATTTTGGCTAGAAATGATTCATCCATTTATTTAAAAAATCCCCTTTTTTGTGTTTCTAGAAGAAAATTAGGAATGCATGTTTTTTCCTCCCCATTTCCATGTGAGATCGTAAGAAGCACCCAACTGCTGAACAAGAACTTAAACAACAAAGAAACCACGGCAAGCACTAAAAGAAACAAACAAATCATAATTAAAGGAAGAAGAGGAGGAGGAGGAAGAAGAAGAATAGAAAAATAATAATAATGAGCACAGCAATAAAAAACCGTGGCAGCACAAAAGTCAAGAAAGGCACATGTGATCATGACTGGCCAATCATCAACTGATACAACATCCAAGAAAAAAATGCTTCAATCACGGCACCTCCACAAAACTTGACGGTTATGTCATGCAACCAATCCGTAGCTTTGTTACATGGCGCCACCATGTCAACTTCGAGTTGATTTTTGAACTTACGGACTGGGGAACTGTATTCTCCACTTTCCTGTCATTACGTGAACTTTTTTCCTAGCTCAGCGCGAGACTGTGGTGGATTTGACTGGCCCTTGGTTGGTTTGGTTGGAATTTGATTGAATGACAAAAGAAGAAAATATATTTATATATATATATTTATATATAGTTTTTGGATTAAATAAAAGGAGGGGAGGAAGGAAGACAAAACAAAACAAAACAAAAGTAATTAAAAAATTGGAATATAATAAATAAAAGGAGGCACCAAGACACAGCACTGTTTCCAAAAAGGAGAAAACAGAAAACAGGAAGCAAAAATGTAAAGAATAACAACAATAACAACAACAACAACAAAGGAATGGAGGAAGCCTAGCAAAGAGACAGCGACATATACACACAGTTCATGTGGACACATAATAAACAGTGACCGTCAACAGAACAATATGTCGTGGCAGCTGATAGAAGCATGCGTTGGATGGATGGCCAGCAGACCGCCGATAAATTGGTTTGCAAAGTCTGGAAAATATACTGGCTGCAAACCATCCCTTTGGGGTTCGAAACAGACCTTTCCCAGCCACTTTCGGATTTGGAAGGCTGAACTGGATGCGATGTTTCTATTTAAAGATGGGTGTCAAGCCCCAAATGCAACTGCCCATCATTTCCAGAAAGAGCCTCGGAGGGAGCTTAGACCTGATATGTCTTTCATCCATAGAAATGGAAAATGTACTGTCGAAGGCTTTCATGGCCAGAATCACTGGGTTGTTGTAGGTTTTTCCGGGCTATATGGCCATGTTCTAGAGGCATTCTCTCCTGACGTTTCGCCTGCATCTATGGCAAGCATCCTCAGAGGTTGTGAGGTCTGTTGGAACTAGGAAAAATGGGTTTATATATCTGTGGAATGACCAGGGTGGGACAAAGGACTCTTGTCTGCTGGAACTAGGTGTGAATGTTTCAACTGACCACCTTGATTAGCATTTAATGGCTTGGAAGTGTCCAGAGGAGAGCGACTAAAATGATAAAGGGTCTGGAGAACAAGCCCTATGAGGAGCGGATTAAGGAGCTGGGCATGTTTAGCCTGAAGAAGAGAAGGAGGAGAGGAGATATGATAGCCATGTATAAATATGTGAGAGGAAGCCACAGGGAGGAGGGAGCAAGCTTGTTTTCTGCTTCCTTGGAGACTAGGACGCGAAAACAATGGCTTCAAACTACAAGAGAGGAGATTCCATCTGAACATGAGGAAGAACTTCCTGACCGTGAGAGCTGTTCAGCAGTGGAACTCTCTGCCCCGGAGTGTGGTGGAGGCTCCTTCTTTGGAAGCTTTGAAACAGAGGCTGGATGGCCATCTGTCAGGGGTGATTTGAATGCAATATTCCTGCTTCTTCGCAGAATGGGGTTGGACTGGATGGCCCAGGAGGTCTCTTCCAACTCTTGATTCTATGATTCTATATAATGAGACTTGACCCTCCGTGGGGTGATTAGATGTCCTTGTTTGTTTCCTCTCTGTTGTTTTGCTGTTGTAATTTTAGAGTTTTTTTTAATACTGGTAGCCAGTTTTTGTTCATTTTCATGGTTTCTTCCTTTCTGTTCAAATTGTCCACATGACATGTCAGGCTACAAAGAGAAGCCATTGAAATCCACAAGCATGTGGACAATTTCAACAGAAAGGAGGAAACCATGAAAATGAACAAAATCTGGCTACCAGTATTAAAAAAACTCTAAAATTACAACAGCAAAACAACAGAGAGGAAACAAACAAGGACATCTAATCACCTCTCAACAAAAGTTTGCTCTAGGCACTGTCAGGCCTTATATGCTAATCAAGGTGGTCAGTTGAAACATTCACACCTAGCTCCAGCAGACAAGAGTCCTTTGTCCCACCCTGGTCTTTCCACAGATATATAAACCCATTTTCCTACTTCCAACAGACCTCACTACCTCTCAGTATGCTTGCCATAGATGCAGGTGAAATGTCAGGAGAAAATGCCTCTAGAACATGGCCATATAGCCCAGAAAAACCTACAACAATCCAGGAAAATGTACTGGTTGCAAACTGTCCCTTTATGGCTTTGAAACAAATCTTTCCCAGACACTTTCAGAGAAAAAGGAAGAGGCGGCTTGGATCCTATAGTTCAGTGGTTCTTAACCTTCCTAATGCTGCAACCCCTTAAAACAGTTCATCATGTTGTGGTGACAAGCCAAACATATAATTATTTTCATTGCTACTTCATAACTGTCATTTTGCTACTCTTATTGACCTTGAGTTTTGGAGTTGTAGTTCACCTACATCCAGTGAGCACTGTGGAGTCAAACAATGATAGATCTAGACCAAACTTGGCATGAATACTCAATATGCCCGAATGTGAATACTGATGAAGTTTGGAGAAAATAGACCTTGATATTTCGGAGTTGTAGTTGCTGGGATTTATAGTTAACTTACAATCAAAGAGCATTCTGAACTCCACCAATGATGGGATTAAACCAAACCTGGCACACAGAACTCCCATGACCAACAGAAAATACTGGGTGGGCATTGACCTTGAGTTTTGGTGTTGTAGCTCACCTACATCCAGTGAGCACTGTGGAGCCAAACAATGACAGATCTGGACCAAACTTGGCACGAATACTCAATATGCCCAAATGTGAATACTAATCAAGTTTGGGGGAAATAGACCTTGACATTTGGTAGTTGCTGGGATTTACAGTTCACCTACAATTAAAGAGCATTCTGAACTCCACCAACAATGGTATTGAACCAAACCTGGCACATAGAACTCCCATGACGAACAGAAAATACTGGAAGGGTCTGGTGCGCATTGACCTTGAGTTTTGGCGTTGTAGCTCACCTACATCCAGTGAGCACTGTGGAGCCAAACAATGATAGATCTGGACCAAACTTGGCACGAATATTTAATATTCCAAAATGTGAATACTGATGAATACTGCGAATACTGATTAAAATAGACCTGGACATTCAGGAGTTGTAGTTGCTGAGATTTACAGTTCACCTACAGTCAAAGAGCATTCTGAACTTGACCAACGATGGGATTGAACCATACCTGGCACAGAGAACTCCCATGACCAACAGAAAATACTGGGAGGGGGATTGATTTTGTCATTTAAGAGTTGCAGTTGTTGGGATTTATAGTTCACCTACAATCAAAGTGAATTCTGAACTCTACCAATGATGGGATTGAACCAAACCTGACACACAGAACTCCCATGACCAACAGAAAATACTGAAGGGTCTGGTGGGCATTGACCTTGAGTTTTGGAGTTGTAGTTCACCTACATCCAGAGAGCAATGTGGACTCCAACAATGATAGATCTGGACCAAACTTGGCACTAATACTCAATATGCTGATGCTGATGAAGTTTGGGGAAAATAGACCTTGATATTTGGGAGTTGTAGTTGCTGGGATTTATAGTTCATCTACAATCAAAGAGCATTCTGAACTCCACCAACAATGGTATTGAACCAAACCTGGCACACAGAACTCCCATGACCAACAGAAAATAATGGAAGGGTCTTGTGGGCATTGACCTTCTGGAGTTGTAGCTCACCTACATACACAGAGCAGAATTTGAAGAGCACAAATGGAGGGCGAAAGAGAGAAACGTGCCAAGGGGAAGGCGCATCAAGCCAACCCCGACTGGGACCGCCTTCCACCTGGAAACAGATGCCCTCACTGCAGGAGAACATACAGATCAAGAATAGGGCTCCAGAATCATCTACGGACTCACTGCCAGGATACGACACTTGGAGGACCATCATCCTCGGACTACGAGGGATCGCCTAAGTAAGCTTGGCCACACATGTCTTGGTTGTCACTTGTGACGTGTTGGTGGGGATGTTGCTCCTTGGCAGTTCACCTCTCTGGTGTTCCAGTGTTTTATTTTAATTCTGATATATTCATGTCACATTGCGCAGTTTTGACAGTGCGCTCTGCCATTTGAGATTTAATATTTCCATGGGTTTGAACTTTCGTTTTGACAGTTTTATACTGCATTGGGGGAGCGGAGGAAGTTCTACCCAGAAGGCTTAAGGATGTGTTATCATTCATGTCTCAAACCACCATCGCAATGCATACCCGAATGCTCTGGCGCACCCTTTTCTGTGGGTTTTGGCCCTTCTTCGATTGCCTCTTTTCTCCCTCCTCGAACAAGGTCTTCTGGAAACTAAGACCACCCCCCGTAGCTCACAGCCAAGCCAGGCTTTGCGGAAACAAGCTAACTCTAATCTCTCAACACTCAATTAGCAGGTGGGATATTTTATTATTATTTTTTGCCTGCAGCTCCAAATTACCTTCAAGGTGTACAGCGCAATTAGCTAAAAATATTTCTTGACTCATTTTTAATTGCACTAAAACTAGGATACACCTCCAGCTAGGAAGAATAAGGTGAAAATTGGTGTCCCCATATGTTTAAGATTGATTGAAGCCTGAGATCACTCAATAAGCTTTCATAGACCTATTAATTATTAAACTTTTATTAATTTCTTTCTTGCGCTTGTTTTAAAAAAAAACCCAAAGCCCCGATTTGCACGATGTTCGTGAAACTCAATCACGGCAGCAGTGACGCCGGGTTTTGTGTGCTCGAAATAAAACCTGAGCACATCTCAGAGGATTAAATGGGGCCCAACGACACCAACTCGAATGTCCCCAAATTTATTTGCAGTGGAATGAGCACAGATATAAGTATCTATATCCTGTTTTCAATGTGCTCAATTAAAAATATGTAATCTGTGGATGCCGGCTGTATATCAAGTTCTAAGCCTGGAGATTTCACAGGGAATGGTAATCAGGGTGGAGGAGGAATCCAGGCGCTCGAGTTTACTTAAATTCAGGGAAAGCAACTTATACAGAAAGATAGATCTAATCCATAGTTAAAACTGTGTTATTTTGTTCTTGCTCAAGGGAAAGCAATCACCCAAAAATACAACTGGCATTCCACAACTCATAGAATCATAGAATCGTAGAATCAATGAGTTGGAAGAGATCTCATGGGCCATCCAGTCCAACCCCATTGTGCCAAGAAGCAGGAATTTGTTGTTCATTCGTTCAGTCGTCTCCGACTCTTCGTGACCTCATGGACCAG